GATATGAAAACGCCTTATAATATCCACTGAATATAAATTTGAAGATGGCAAGCAACTTATTAATTTATTAGGCAATTTCATTTCAATTTCACGACAGAAAAAAATATTATTCAAAGATCAGTTTCGCTTCTATAATTTCTTTCTCTTTTAGCCAAAAAATATGCAGGTGTCAGCAAGGTACTTAGCTAAAAACTATCTAATGATTGTTGCATTTTAAAAGTGAACTGTTAAATCCAATATGCATCTTCTAATTCCATGCAGTGTTGATTACATATATCTACTTATCGCTTTATTCAGCTAGCCAATTCTATATACACTATTTAAACTTTTTCTTCTGTACGGGATTTCAGAATGAAAAGAACTTTTTTTTTTTAAATTTAACAATTAATATGTATAATTCAACATTAGTTGATTAATTTTACTGGATTTTTGTGTTAAATATTCCTTACTTTATCGATGATTACTTCTATACTTCTTACTGCTGAGTTAAAGAAGTGTTTTAAAATGAATCACATCTATCGCATGAAGACTGTTCTTGATTTGAAATTTAATGTCTTTTTTAAAACTGGCCAGTGCTGAAAAGACAAGTGTTTTTTGTGACTTGATAGAAAAAATTAATGAAGTTCAACTTAAGCAGTTAAACGATAACTTCAGTTTTCTAGATATTATAAGAAATAATCCTGAATGTACAAGCAAAAACCATCTTATTAAGTTATGATATCTATGGTAAATCAGACTTTAATTACATCTGATGAGCTGAATTTCTATATTAATTCTGATTTTGAGTATACGAGTCTGTTAGAACACATTTGTTGTACCCATACATTGAATATTTTTATGCTTCAAAATTGCAAAAAATTTAACCCGCTAGAAGTTTGATTTCATTAAGAAAGCAGTGTGCTCTTCTTGCAATTAAAAGGTACTTTTTAACCCAAAATATTGATATAATTAAAGTGGCTGATATCGACAGCAGTGAATGAACATAAAATTTTTTTACAGTGACAACAGAAGCACTGCAATACAACTGTTCACCAATTCAGAGTTACTACCTAAATATGAAACTAAATTAGATGATTTTCCTTCAGAGTTTGATAAAAACTTGATTAATTTTTTTTCTTTCCATAATTTCAAGTTTTCAAAATTCCTTTCATCCTTACAAAAAATTTTTATCCCCTGAATCTTTCTTGCTAACAAATTTAAAAATGTATCCTACTTTTTGTTATTTATATTGAAACTGAACTTTTAAGTGCAATAATCTGCTTAATAGTGCCATAATCAAAAGCGAATGCAAAAAGTGGTTGTAACTCTTCATTGCATTCTTTTTGAGAGACCACTGACACTGCATGAGAAGTCTTCATCAATTCATGTCTAGATCCAACTCATAAAAATTAACTGAGCTGCTTTTGATGTGTAATCATCTTAAGAAGTAGCAGTCACAATCTTTTTTTTCTGCATAAACTGATGTAATTTTACTTTATCATCAGTAAGTTTATAAAACTAACTTTTCCCTTTAAAATGTAATTCTTGGTCGCAAGCATCTTTGTCATTAGCAGTTATCTTAAATTTAGCACTTTAAAAAATCATTGCGTTTAATGGTAAATTGTTTAAACTTAATAAAATTCAGTCCATTTGCTTTATCAGTACTGTATTTAATTATTGCTCCATTGAGAATAAGCAGAAGGGAGCATGCGTCTTTGAGATAATGTCGATGAATCTAAATACTCATTTACTTCCCAGTTATAAATATTAAACTATACACACTAAAAACGAAACGTCTATGTCCAGCATAAAGAAAAAAGCAAATGCTATTTTTTATATATAATAGTACTTTTTTAAATAGAGTAATAGACAAATAAAGGACTTTCTACATCTTAAATTTGGCTAAACGACTATAGCAATCAAAATTCTCAAGAAACCGTTTTAATTTGATTAGAACGACAATTTTGTAATTTGATGTTGTCGTAGCTTACTGTATAATACATATGATAAAGATGTGAATTTAAATTAATTATTTGCAACAGTTAAAGCTTAAGGATTATAAGTTCTAACAAATAGGCTCCTCCATTAAGTTGAAAAAAAAAAGAAAGAATTACCAACTCTAGAGAAAAAAAAAATGTGAAAAAGCGAAAAATGAATATAAAGAGAGAAAAATTTACAGAAAGTTAAACATTCCGTCCGTTTATATTTATTCATGCACAACAACTCTAACGGTTTTGTACAGTAAGCATTTATTATCTCTCAAGTTTAATACAATATTATCATATAATTTTAGCTTCTGAAAACATTTGTCTGCTCTGACCAGGAAAAAAATCATCATTTAGTTATTTTATATGCAGATATGACGTTATTATTTCCCTTCCAAACAAATTATCTGACAAAAAAATATTGAAATTCCATTTTTTTTTCCAAAAAAAAAATTATTAACTGTAAAAATTGAATTTATGAGCAGAAAGATTCCCAAAATTAGATACTGGCTTATTCCTCCAAATTAAAATTTTCTATTGAAGTACTGAAAGTTAATCTTAAACATAATACCGACCAATCATCCACAAATTCAGGATATATCTTATCTTATTAAATTTTTGATTCATAGCAGAGAAAGCCAAAAAGCTTTATCCAACGGTATTTTCACAGTACTCATGGAAATAAGGAAGGAATAAGGAAATTCTAGATATTAGTAACAGCAATTACTAATTTTTATAAATTCTTTCATTGCTTTCTAAGATTTCCTAAGGTAAAAACTTTCATCAGATACAGTAAACAAGAAAGTAGCTGATAGGCTGCAATGGATATATTCTATTCATTAACTTTTCACTACACTTAATTATAGATAAGATTTTATTGAAGGAATCAATGGATATTGTTATACTAAAATATAAATTAATTTTTAGCATATCATGCTAACAGATGAAAAGTCAGTTAGTACAGCATTCACAGAGGAAGATTGATAAGTATTCGGTCTTTTCCTTTGCGTGGGATATAATTTATCAGTCGGTGGATCAGTGATTGCACAAATTTTTTTCCTTTTAAAGATGTATTTTTCGTATAAGTATGTTTAATCTTGATAAGGTGATGTACAGTGACGTCAAATACAAGTATTACAATCACTTTTAGAGGCAAGTCACAGCTCTTTCTTGCTTTACATAATTCCAACAAAACTATCAGAGAACTTGTTTGCTCATCGATCTCACACCCACTACACTCGTCGAACAGCCATTTGTGAATTTTTTGTTTAATCAATGTTTGTGATCATTCTCTCGCGGAGATTCCTACAGAGGACCATTATTGATCAGTCAAACCATTTCTCACTGATATGTTAGGAATGGCATACTGATTATTTCCTCCGCTAAATCAGACTGATTTTATCATGACTTTCTTGCTTACTGACATCTAGTGAAGCGCAGAATCGAAAATTTTCATATTATGATGTTAATATTTATTTATGCTCACAAAATATCTGCGATTTATACTGAAATATAAACTATTTCTTAATCAGAAGAGGAAAGAAATTTAGACGTTATGAACCCTTCTCATATTTAAGGAATTTTTGATCAAGAAATCCATTTGCAATTGAAAACTGAAAATAGAATCATGTAAATTTTTTTGCTTTTTTCAACATTTGTTCTGGCTTTCATCACGTTAACTACAACTTTGATTTTTAATATGCTCAAGTAATTTAGTACGAATTATTAATTGCTATTTTTGTTAAATTAATCACTAGTTAGATAATATGTTAGTTAGCGGAAATTATTGCATTTTTTCGTTTTATTGAATTGTTCATATTACAAACATAGTGAAAACGGCTTAATTATTCACTGCTTACTGAAATTGAAGTATTTGAGTGACTTCATATCAAGTAATACGATTTAGTCAACTTGTTTAAAGGAAGAGTAAATGAAACACGGCAAAATAAAATGTAGTGGTTGAAACTTTGATACATCTCCATCTCTTGTGTTGACACTAACTCTGAACCTTAAGTTAAGATCTATGGTTGTTCAATCAATGCGAATTATTTGTTTTCGAGAAATATATAGTTCAAAGCAGTGTACTGCAGTAATTTAGTTCTTGGCCTTTTCATTTCACTCAAAAATTAGTTCCTTATTTTTCAATGTTCTTGTTTCTTTCTTTCCACGTAAATTAATAAATGTTGCTTTCGTCACACTGATATACATAAAGTTTCTCGAGAATGAAAAAAAAAAGATTTCTTTCTCAAGAAACTTGCATTTCGTGAAAACTTCATTCAACTCATTCAATTTTCCCTCTTTCTTGATTGATGAACATTTTGTATATATAACAAAATGTTTACTTGAGTCTTTTCGTATAAACTCATCCTCAAAGAATGACATTTTTTGGCTAATTAACTGCAATGTAAAAACATATGATCATTAAAAAATAACAATAGTATATTTAGTGTAGGCCGCTAGCAAGTTAGACTATTATATACTTGGAATGATGGTGGAGAATATTGCAAAAATGCTTCAAAAATAGTAAAATATTTGTCTTTATTCGCTATGCCTCCTTACTAACTTTTTAGAGGACAGTGTCGGTGTTCTCATTATATCAATTTTGTAACATCCTGTTCATGATCAAAAATTTTTTCTTTTTTGATATATATATGTATAAGCAATGAATAATTAAGCCTTTTTCACTATGTTTGTAATATGAACAATTCAGTAAAACGAAACAATGCAATAATTTCCGCTAACTAACATATTATCTAACCAGTGATTAATTTAACAAAAATAGCAATTAATAATTCTATATATATATATATATTGAATTATTAAAATTATTAATTGAAAGTAATTTAGTAGAAAGAAAAGATAGAAATGAATGTTTTATTTTAGAATTTCGCAAATAATTTGATATAAGAAGTAAATTTGAATGAACAAAGTATGTTTCATGAGTTGTAGAATTTAATTTAATTCATTACTGCAGCAACCAATGTAATTTTGGAATAAACTGAAACGCGATATCTTGAATTGATGATTTTTTTGTGAATGCATATTTTTTGGATATCGTTCTTAGTACTACAAACACTTTTACTCTGTAATCTCTTTAATGGTTGTGCACTTGGAAGTAAGATTTGCAATGCATCATCTATTCACCTAATTACAAGTGAAAAGTGGAATCAACCTATGAGAATACGATATCCAGCTGATGGTGCAGTATACGGTGTTACAATTCATAAGCAACTACTTGCAACTGTTCTGGACAACACAATTATTGTATGGAATATATCTTCCATAATGACACTTAAAGATTTTCACTGTATGCAGTTACCAGAACCAGTACAAAAGAAGTTATTAGAATTCAAATTCATTGATGATGAAATGTTACTGTATTGCGATGTCACGGCGTGCAGGTAGATTTGCTATTAGCTTTAACCAAGTCAACTTTATAAAACTGTCCTTGAAGCCATTTTTGTCTGATCTTGGTGTTTACAGTAAATTTTAGGATATTCATTGCTTGAATACCCAGCTTTTCTAATACTGAAAAAATAATGCATGGAAGTATTTTCAGGTTATGTGTGCTGACTTCCTTAAACGAACCGTGCATAGATTATCATTTGGCACTAAACAATAAGAAAGTTGAAAAATTAATGTATGCAGTAGCTGCAAAAGATTCTAATGAAAATGTAATTATTCGTTTCTCAACTCAGAACACTAATAAAGCTGCTATTCTCAAATTTCAATCCCACCATTTTATTGGAAAGTAAGTAAATCATCTTTCACACAATCTATAAAAATTATTATTCGTTATTTTCTGAAAATTAAAACCTTCGTTACACATTTTCTCATAATTAAAATTAGTGTTCAGCTATAGTTTGTTTTACTTTCTGTACTTTTTAGCTTCCACAAAATATCATCAGTGCAATCAGCAGAAGACATACATATAATTGACAGACATAAATTAGCAACCGCATTCAATCGGCAGGGTTATACTTATTTTGTGGGATCAGCGCGTCGACCTTATGAACCTTACATCAACGCTAAAATGGAAGAAACAATTGTAATGTCAGTTATCATTACTCGAGTTTGTGACGGTGATCATACACACCAGCTGGAATCTCGCATTGATATGGCACTTGTCTGTGGAAATATCAGTAAATTTATTTACGTATTCATAAGATTATTTAATAATTGTGTTTTTGCAATATGAGGGACGAAAATTAAGGACAAAATCAACAGGGTTCTATAAAATAAATACCATATAATGAATTATTGTTTTAGAATTTCACATCATGCATTGACAGAACTTTATGTTTAATATTTAATGAGGTAAACATAATTTATTTAACTAATCAGTGGCAATATATGCTATGTTTTCTACGCACAGTTTTATCTATGAAATTTCAATTTTCAAAAAACTTTAGGTTCACAAACAAATGTTCGTACCTTGGCAGCTGAATATAATCCACAAAGCGATAGCTTGATAGTTGTTTTCCAAGCGCTTGAAACTGACTACAATCTAGCTTGTAAGTACTCCATGGATCATGTTAATAATGCTTTTGATCAAATATGGATGGGATGTCAAAATATTACTTACAAGTCCTCTACAAAGGTAAGTTAAATTTTCATTCTTGCTTGAAGCCTTTTACTTCAGTTTTCATTTAGTTAATATATTATTTTAAAAGGAATTTTTCTAGCTGCTTGTGTTTACAATCAACTATTAAATTATTGTAATCTTGGATGAAGATGTTGACAGACATTTTTTTAGCAACCGTTATTTCGAAAATATACTTTCCTTTCTCACACTTCTCATTGTACTAAAGTCATTTTAATGTTGCTCTGATCAGCAGTACTTTGCGAAAAATTCAGTTTCAGCTTCACATGTGTGCGTCTTTAACTGTGAAGACTTAAATTTTCTTAAATATCTAGGAATGCCAAAAAATTCAAAATGAGAAAGAACTGCCTGCTCATTGTTTCATATTTTCTCGAAGAGCAGATGCACATGCTATGAGGACCTGTTCTAGATTTGGTGGGGTGAGTTTCTTGCTTTTATAAACTTTTAAATTTGAATTTTTATTTTTCAAATTTAAAATACTGATAAAAATCATATCAGTTAGAAATAAAATGAGTAAAATAAGAAGCATTTCGAGATAATTTGATGACTTCTCAAAGTTACATAACTGTCATCATTTTTTAATCGTTTCTTGCAGAGATACTCTAAAGAGCCGCTAAATAATTGTGATCTGGAATTATTTCCATCATCTGCATATCGTTACGGTTGGTTGGAGCAGTTTTATGGATTAAAAGGACAGCTCATAGCTATGTTAGCCTGCATTGAAACTTTTTTAGCTATAATTTCATCCATGTTGTGTCATTTGACATCAGATCCTGATATAGTTTCACTAATATCTGGTTGTAATAATTAAGAAGAATGGGAAAATAATGTAAAAGAGTGGAAGAAGGAAGTAGTAGAACAAAAAAAAAACGCGCTCAATTATATAGTAATTACTTTGACTATTTCGTGTGCCATTTTTTAGTTAAAACTGTTGGCTTACGTAAAATCAGTATACATATTTGTAGTTCACTAGATATATGAGCTGTTGATATGCACTCAATCTTACATTCTGCAAATTTCTGTTTAATTTCAAAGCGAAGCTGTAATTTACAGTTGACCTTCTTTCATGACTGGAAAATCTAATTTCTAAATTTTTTTCGTTTTTAGATAAATTCAGTATTGACGTTGTATTTAATTTGTCATTCTATATAATAATAACAGTTAGTAGTAACCATGTATTTTAGTTTCCCCAATTTTGAAGAAGATATATTATCCGTGAAGCATTTTCATGATGACAATGCATTATTTATTGTTCATACTGGTGGCTATTTACAGCGGGTAACTTAGATTTTATGATTACGCTGAGCATATTTTTCTACATTATGTTATTTAAATCTAGCAACAATTATAATTTTACTTTGTACTCACTGCTGCTAAAAACCTCGCATTAGTTGCTTTTCATTTTTTCAATGCATCAATACTGTTATTTTTTATATTAAAAGCGATCAATTTCAGGCAAGAAAATACATGAAAATATGAAATAGATAAGAAAATCTCTATTTGCTCAAACAAAATTTTTATATATACAAAAAAAATTGTAGTTTTATCTCAGGAGGACTTTATTTCAATTCAAAAAATTATCAGCGATTCTAAGTATTTTTATAAAATTTTGCAATTAAGATATCAATTCAAAAGAATCATACAGCATCATCATCCTTGTGGGCGCTTCAACTGCAACGCAAGCAGCCCATCAGGCATATGCATAGTTTCCGATATCAAATCACAGCAGATTTCGACCGCAATCGAATTTATTACGTTCAAGACAATGAGGTTTATTCTTCATGTTTTCGATAATCATCTGATTCAGTCTACAACTTTAGATTGCCATTTGATAAGATTTTTTATGTGTGAAAACTAAATTTTTAAAATTGCATTGTATAAGATTCATGTAAGGTTGTTAATAAACACATTCCATGTTTATTTTTTAGTTAAGCTATACCGAACTTACTTGTTCCTATTTTTACGATACTTGCGACTCACTGGAGCGATTGGACTGGTCTGATCCATTACACTGCCGTTGGTGTGCTATGAAGAATGGTTCCGGTTATGCATTTTCTGCTGAAAAGGGCGACGACACCTGCCCATTTTACGTTGTTGATAGTCTGTGTACGCCGTTTATTGAACATGTAAACACTTTTTCGTTTTCTGAAATCGTTATTTCTGCGAACAGGTAACAACAACTAATCCAAAATTTGAAAATTTCTAGCAGTTATAACGCATTTAATGACTCTTTCAATCACTAAGAAAGTTCCATGCAGTTTTTTCTAATATCAACGTTTACAAAATATTGCTAGTATTTCCATGTTATAAATAATATATGACCTCAATACATTACAGTTCTTTCGTATAACAGTCCCTTTTTATTTGACTTTAGTATAAACAAGCGTGCACTCAATGTTTATCAACAGTCGTAATGCTTTTGAATGAATAGCAAATTTTTAGGTAAATATTCCATCAACTCTTACCAACCAAACGGTATTTGAAGTATATGGTGGGAGATTTGATCGACTGCAAGATATTGAAGCTAAAGTATGCAACCAGTATTGTGCAGTTTTGGTTTTGGGATCCACAAAGTTGGTTATTTGAATACGAAAATAAAATTAGAAGCAGTTTGAGTAATTCGTCGGTTTGGCTTTTCCCACCTGGAAAATTCTTTTTCCAGTGAACTTTTTGCAACGTCATTCAAAATGAATATATATCATATTTATGAAAAATATGTACAACCCTTTAATAATGCAGTAGTTTCGTGTGTTTCTTCTTTTTAACAGATTGTCATGCACAGTAGACATGACAAATAATGCTGCTCGGGACTGTAATTTTCATCTGAATGGCAAACTTGGAGCTCTTGGTCCCTTTACTGTCATTTTCGAATTGCCACAAAAACTTCATTTTCATATTGCAAACACCGTCTTAGCAAACACTGCTAATCATTATTCCAAGTAATTTATCAAAACATAATTCTAGGCTTTATATATTTGATTTTTATTTGCCATAAAAAGACGTAGTTTCTGGACTCTTCAATATGTTAATGTTAAGAGTAAAAATCTGCCTTGTATTGGATGATGATTTTTTAATTAGAATTAAAATTTGAAACTAAAATACCACTCATTAAATGATAAAAACTGCTTGTAATTAGATTCATCAGTTCCTCTATTACTTGCTGTAGTTTTAAGGCGCAGCAGAGCAGTTGCAGCGATCTGTGCTGTGATTGTACTCGCATCTCTTATCGTACTCATTTTACATGTAACTCGTCGATTATATGAAGTAAGTTTAAGACTGTTACTCAGAAGAATGTATTATTATTGCCTATGAGCTGATACATTTAAATGATGATCATACTATAAACACTCGAAGGCATATTTGTTAATATTGTAAAAATGAGTCAATTAACAATATAATTTTAACTTGCAGCACAAACGAATTCGAATGAAACATTATGGTAAAAATAGATCAAGCACAGAAGTTGATGAAAACCATGCAGCATTTGGTCAGTTCTCAATGTTTCAAATAAATTACTGTTAGTTTTTAACTTTTTGAATTACATTTATGTTAAAAAAAGTGTTTTCAGTCGATAGCAGTCTCTTTCGTGGGCTTAGGAGAAATGATGATCAAATAAAGAACTTCAATCCATACGAAAACCTTTTCCTCGAGATTGATTCAAAGTTGAAAATACCATTAAAAGATCTGGAATTTGGGGATGAAATTGGAAAAGGTTGATTAAGTAAATGCAATATTTTGATTGAAAATTCATATCAACTCAAAATTACATGAATTTGTTGAGTAGTAAAATGATTTGTAGGAAATTTCGGTATTGTATATCGAGCAGTGTACCGAAAGGCTAGTAATGGACAGTTAATGGACGTTGCGTGTAAAACCATTGATTCTCATAGTGATGGTGTGATAACAGGAGTTAGCGAATTTTTACGAGAAGGCTTAATTATGGCCAATTTAAATCATTTAAATGTAGCCAGACTTGTTGGTATTTCCGCAACTGACAACAGTTACCCAATCATTGTCACTGAGTTTATGGCCCAAGGCGATTTACGACATTATATTATCAACCCCGAAAATGTGCATACCATTTTCTTGCTTTTTAATTCATCCTTAGTGAAAATTTACTCATGCATACTTCATAATCAATAGAACAACCTTTTGTGACAAAGATGTGGTTCTTCAAACTATACACAATCTTTATCGTCCGTCTAATTTATTAATAAAACATCTGAATTAACATTAATATTTGCTTTATCCATTTTGATATTCCTCACTACTTACAATATTTATAGAAACTCACATTTGGTAATTTACTTGACTTTGGCATCCAAATCGCACGAGGAATGACATACCTACATGAGAAACAATTTATTCATCGCGATCTTGCAGCACGAAATTGCATGTTAGTCAAAAAATTTGCAGTAGCTGACATTGTTAGATTGGTATTTCAGTAGTCAAAGTTGAGAGTTTTTTAATATGATGTTACTAATGGAGTTTATTGTAATATAATAAATGAATTCATGGACCATTTTCTATAATATTGAAGGTTAGATGCAAATCTCACCGTTAAAATTGCTGATTTTGGTTTGAGCCGCGACGTATCACGGTGTGGAATGTATCAAACCATTCATAGAGATCGTGGAATCCCTATTCGATGGATGCCTATTGAATCACTTGAAAAACAACTGGTACATCTATATCTCATAGTAATTTATACATTTCTTATTATTTTCCAGTGTATTATTAATGTAGGTCTAAAGAACACTAGTCAGTAGTTTCTGGAGTTGGACGCATGTTTACTTGAAGATAGTCCCATTGCCAGTAAATGCAAAATTATATAAAACAGTAGTTTGTATAATTCAGTTAACTTTTACAATGAATTAACTAATATAAACTGTGCTATACGGGCAAATAGCGAATCTTACATGATTCAATATTGCTCTAAATCTAGAATTGGTTCAATAAGTCCAGACTTTCTTGTTCCAGTACACATTTAAAGCAGATATTTGGGCATATGGAGTTGTATTATGGGAACTAGCTACACGTGGTTTGGTACCATACGCAAACTTGGAATTTACTGATATATTGCGCCTGTTAAAAATTGGACATCGTCTAACAAAACCAAAAGGATGTCCCGACAATTTGTAACTATTCTATGCTTCATATCGCCACTATAGTTTTATTAGCCATACTAATGATATTCCTGATATCTTTACAACACAACTAGCTAAATACAACATCAAACTTTAAGAAATAAGGCCCCTCAGCAGATCAACATCTGAAATTTGGTAAATTTTCGAACTAATTCATATATTTCTAGATATTATCATGTGATGAGGCCTTGTTGGACTGAAGACCCGCAGTGTCGACCAACATTTTGCGAATTAACGGAAATGATGGAAGACGTCGTGAGACAACTACGTCGTGGGATATCAGGTGGAGCACTTCTGGATAGCCATTATGAACGGGTATCAGTACGTTCATTTGCTACTTCGCCTACAGTTACCAACAATTTAGACTCCACATCCGACCCTGTTATTACTGATTTAAAGGCTGTCCCAACTACGCCCAATTCAGCGAAATAAAATATCTGCAAGTCATGTGACTTTCCTTCCCACCGGTTAGTCACTTACTTTTTGTGTCTTTCATAAAATAAGGCCACTTAAAAATGTTTTCTTTGAATGCTAACAACCTTGTTTTGCATCCAGATATCAACAACGCCTTACCGTCTGCAAGTGTTCCACGCAGTTCCATGGTTACAGTTGCATTGTACGATAAATATCAAGCTCTTATAGAAACCACAAATAACGAACTCCTCGTGAATTTTAAAATATTATAACAAAGATTCGTTTGTTCTCGAAATGAAATAGTGATACCTTAATAATCAACCAATCTTTCCATCATTATTTAAAGACTAGTTGGTATGAATATCTAATATTCATGATCTGTGGGAATGGATCAATATCGCTGGAAAGAGATGTCACTATTGGAAACCATCTGCTATTCTTAACTCAGACGCATTGGATACAAACAGCTATTAAAGATTGAAAATATTCGGACAACAAAATGAACTTAGTTCAAAAACTATACCAATAGAATCAAATTCACGCGAAAAAAAGTTCATTAAAGAGTCACGGAAAATCTGTGATGAATTACAGATGTGCATGTGTAGTCTGAAACTGTTTATATACTCACTGACATTACAAATCAAAAACAAAAGATGGCAGAAAACGAGAACAAACAACAACTGATAAGAAGACTGAGTAAAGATGGAACAGTAAGAATTGCATAACAAAATTTATGAAAAAACGAGATTATTGAGGTTTTTAATAGCAAATTGACTCAAAAGACATTTAATAAAATTTAAAGTACTTACTACGGAACACTGAATCGATTAGCTCGCTCTTCAATAATCTGCGTGCTTCGTCCACACAAATATCTCACATTGATTTCTTCCTGAAAATTAGCATTCATCATTTGCTGAATTTATTTCATTCGCAGTCAAAAATTTTTTGAGCTAATATTTAATGTTCTCAAATTTAGTCAGCAATATATAATGGGTATTACTTTGCTAATAAAGTCTGCATAAATAAGCACATGTCACAATTTCCAAGTATTTGGAGAAGAAATCAACTTCAACCCTTAAGTCATCTATATTTTGTAACTGTAGGCATGATACAATAATGAGTAAAAAAATTATTTCTGTATCATTTTTATACAAACCTTATCTGAATATCTGTCAAAATATAGCCCATAGATGTCTTTTCATGCACGGAATGTAATTGTCGACAGCTTTATAATACAATTCAAAATTGAACACCCTGCTCTAGCAATGTTGCTTTCTTGCTGAAACTACAGAAAATTAAAAACTTTATGCGTACGGAATTGTAAAGAGTACAAAGTAACCGCCAAAAACTATTCGTACCAATTACGATTCCTAGTCTGGATGTCTATCATAACATCTTAACAGTACTTTCGAGGACAGCTGAAACATAGATGATAATGTTAAACAAGTTTTCCAGCCTATCGTAATAAAAATAAATGAAAAAGTGAAAATTAAATTATATATGATTATTTATTCCAGTAATGGTAGTCATCTATCTTTCTACCTATCTACCTCTCTATCTAAGGCAGGAC